CGTGAAAACGTGTCCATGCTACACATGTCTATATCCCTTTCCGGGTTCGTGGGTCCATCATGTTTGATGGATTGGCATTTTGCTTCTTTTCGGTCTTCCGACGGCCCGAGACAGCCCAAGAACCCCCCAAGTTCGCCCCCCCAGAGCGTCGTAGAGACCTCCAAGGTGATCCCAGAATTGCCCCAGAGGCCCCCACGACGGCCCCAAGAGGGCCCCAAGACGGGCCAAGAGGCCTCCGACGCCCAAGATGGCCTCCGAGACGGTTCTGGAGCACCCCAAGAGGGCCCCAAGCCGGTTCAGAGAGGCCCCCAAGATGGCTTCAGGCGGCGTCAGACGGGCCAGCAACGCCCTAGGACTGCCAAAGAGGTCCCCAAGAAGCTCCCAAAGGCCCCCAAGAGGCCCAAGGAGGCCTCCAGGATGCCTCCAAGAGGCTCCAGGAAGCTCCCAGGAGCCCCCAAGAGTGCCCCCCCCGAGGCTCACAAGATGCCCCCTCCTCCTCCTCCTCCTCCTCCTCCTCCTCCTCCTCCTCCTCCTCCTGATCTTCCCCGCCATCCCCCCCTTAAGTGTCCCCCGAAGGGTTTCCACAACGGTTGATGGAACACATGGTTAGATAGCGTGGCAGAGCTCTTGCCACAGCGCTCGGTCACATGGGCGATTCCAAAAGGCAGGGGTCGGCGGTGATTCGCCGTAGGCGTCTTCGATCCGCAGCCCCCTGTTGACTCATCACAGCGGTGCCTGGCGTGCAGATCCTACGGCTTGACTTCGGTTCTTTTCAAGAAGAGCCCCCCCCCTGGGGCTTCGGTACATGTCGCTGGCCACCCGAAGGCCCCGCCGCTGCGCAACCAACGTCTCCTAGACGACCCCAACGGCCTCCAAGACGGCGAAGATGGCCGAGATGGGCTCCAAGTTCGCCCAACATGGTCCAAGATGGCCTCTGAGACGGCCCAAGAGGGTCCCAGATGCCAGATGCCTCCAAGTCCGCCCAGAAGCCACCCAGACGGCCCAAGATGGCTCCAAGAGGCCCCCAAGAGGTCTCCAAGACGGCCCAAGTTCCCAAGAGGGCCCGAAGAGGCCAAATCCTTGGTTTTCTTTTAGTGTGTAAACATAATCCCCGGTGCCCAACTTGAAGGAGGCCGGCGGATTCTTTCCCTGATAAATATCGAGGTCGAAGGAGGCCGGCGGATTAAAATTTGAGGACGTCTCAGGCGAAACGCTTGTTTTTGAAATCCCGATCGATAAATCACAGGGTGCGGGACACCTCAGCACGACCACACCCCCAGCATGACCACACCCCAGCACGACCACGCCCAGCACGACCACGCCCCAGCACGACCACACCCCAGCACGACCACACCCCAGCACGACCACACCCCAGCACGACCACACCCCAGCACGACCACACCCCAGCACCAGCACGACCACACCCCAGCACGACCCGATCGATAAATCACAGGGTGCGGACCACCCCAGCACGACCACACCCCAGCACGACCCCACCCCAGCACGACCCCACCCCAGCACGCCCCAGCACGACCACACCCCAGCACGACCACACCCCAGCACGACCACACCCCAGCACGACCCCACCCCAGCACGACCCCACCCTAGCACGACCACACCCCAGCACGACCACACCCCAGAACGACCACACCCCAGCACGACCCCACCCAAGCACGACCCCACCCCAGCACGACCACACCCCAGCACGACCACACCCCAGCAGGACCCCACCCCAGCACGACCCCACCCCAGCAAGACCACACCCCAGCACGACCACACCCCAGCACGACCTCACCACAGCACGACCACACCCCAGCACGACCACGCCCCAGCACGACCACGCCCCAGCACGACCACGCCCCAGCACGACCACCCCCCAGCACGACCACCCCCCAGCACGACCACCCCCCAGCACGACCACCCCCCAGCACGACCACACCCCAGCACGACCACTCCCCAGCACGACCACACCGCCTTGGTTGAGTGGTTGCCTGTCGTCGTGGAATGTTTCGTGGGGTGTCTCGTGGAATGTTTCGCGGGGTGTCTCGTGGAATGTTTCGTGAGGTGTCTCGTGGAATGTTTCGTGAGGTGTCTCGTGGGATGTTTCGTGAAGTGTCTCGTGGGATGTTTCGTGAGGTGTTGCCCAGTTGGGTATCGTGAAAACGTGTCCATGCTCCACATGTCTATATCCCTTTCCGGGTTCGTGGGTCCATCATGTTTTTTTGACGGATTTTGGCATTTGCTTCTTGTCGGCCTTCGGACAGCCCAAGCCGGCCCACGAGGCGCCCAGGATCGCCCCAAGATGGCCACGAAGGCCTCCGAGATGACCCCATGACGCCCCGACAAGCCTCCAATACGGCCCCAAGAAGGCCTCAAGACGGCCCAAGAGGCCTCCAGGGCGCCCAAGATGGCCTCCAAGACGGCCCTGAATCGCCCCAGGAGGAGGAGAGGAGGAGGAGGAGGAGGAGGAGGAGGAGGAGGAGGAGGAGGAGGAGGAGGAGGAGGAGGAGGAGGAGGAGGAGGAGGGAGGAGGAGGAGGAGCAGGAGGAGGAGGAGGAGGAGGAGGAGGAGGAGGAGGAGGAGGAGGAGGAGGAGGAGGAGGAGGAGGAGGAAGGCGGAGGAGGAGGAGGAGGAGGAGGAGGAGGAGGAGGAGGAGGAGGAGGAGGAGGAGGAGGAGGAGGAGGAGGAGGAGGAGGAGGAGGAGGAGGAGGAGGGGGGCCCCCAAGTCGGTTCAGAGAGCCATCCAAGACGGCCTCCGACGGCATTCGTTAGACGGTCCTCCTCAATGCTTCCGTGCAGCTGCGGGCGTGCGCCTGGCTCTGCGCCTGGCCCCGCGCCTGCGTCAGAAGATGAGGTGAGATGCACATATGGGGATCTCCGCGTCGTTTTTTGTTTTCTTCTTATATCCTGGACGTTTCGCCATGGGGGCCAAACCCGGGGGTGGAGAAAGGTGCACGTTTCGTGCACCTTCGGGGCCCCAGGGGGGGCGCTTCAGGGCCTCTTTAGGGCTCATCCTCTGCCTCCCTCCCTCCCCCATTCCTGGATCGCCGAATCCCATGGCGAGGCGCCAGATCTTTTGTTGTTGCCACCTCTCGGGCACGGGACGGTGACAGAGGTGGGAGGAGGTGGGCGCCAGGGGCAGTTCGGCTCGGGAACACGCAATATGTCAACATGTGAAAACCCAAGATGCAACATTGGAGGAACCCAGATCAACATGTCAAAACGTCAACATGTGAAGAACCAACCCGCAACATGTGAACCCCCACGGCGTCCCCGGGCGTGCGGGCCCAGCCCAGCGGGGAGAGAGGGGCAGGCAGCACGTGCCGCCCGTCCGCCATGCGCCAGCGGAGCGACGCCCGCGGCGCGCTCCGCGCGCCAGGCAGGGGGGGCTCAGAGCCGACCCCAGAAATCCGCGCGGGCCTTCGAAAGTCTGTGCGCTTGTGCGTACGCTTGGCTCCCAACCAAGGACGGGGAGGAGGTGGGCGTGCGCCAGGGGCAGCTCGTGTGCCCCTGAGGAAAGGGGGGGACGGAGACGAGGAGTCGGCGGTTCAAAGAGGGGGCCCCGAGGGATAGGGCCCTGAGGATAGGAAGGTGTCCCAGGTTGAAACTGCACTGGTTGAGGTCCCTCGTCCTCAGGGCCCCTCGCACTCAGGGCTCCACCTTTGAGCCGCCGGGAGAGGAGCGGAGGGGGAGAGGCCCGCCGGCGGCGCCTGCCGCGTGCACTCCTCGGCCTGAAGCGGTCGCGCACCCTGCGAGAGCGAGCTGGGGGGAGCCGTGTGGCACGACCCGGGCCTTGCGCTGAAAAACTCTCGTGGCGTATCGAGTGGAAAAAGACATCGGAGGCAACGAGGGCCGCTGCTTCCGAGTGGAATCCAGGGAGGAAGAAAGGGATCGAGACTGAGCCACGTCGTGCATCATTGCGCAGACGGTCTAGCCTCTTCGCATCTCTTCGCTCGGCGATGAAGACTTGGGGGGGATGGGGAGAGGGAGAGGGAATAAGATATCCAGCACCCCGAAGTTGCGGGTAAGAGTGAAGGGGCGGGCGCGTGGCGGGTCGCGGGTGGGTCGCGGGGTGGGTCGCGTGGTGGGTCGCGAGGCTGGTCGCGGGGTGTCGTGGGAACAACGACAGTAACAAAACCAAGAGCAGCAGACAACAACAAATAAGCACCATCAGGGCCACGGAATCCCACTTCACCCACGCACCTGGGGTTGGCTTGTGATCGTTCGGCCCCCTCACTCGGATGTATTTATCGGTGTATTGATATAGATCTACCGGTATCTCTATATATAAATGTATAGACATATATAGCGACATGTCTCCCAAACAGTTCTTGCGCTTAGGGGCTCCTACTTATGTCACAGAAGAATTGGATGGGTCCAGCGAGGATTTTCCACGTTGCCGCCCGTGGCCGCCACGTTGCCGCCTCGTGCGCTGAGAGGGTCCAGCGAGGTTTCGCAACGCTTCCGCCCGTAGCCACCTCGTGCGTCATAGCTTACGCTGGTGAGCTTTCGCCACATATCTGACACGACATATGCTAACACAACACAGCTCTCACACTGTAGCTCACACCGCATAGGTTACACCACACGCACAGCACACAACTCGCACAACATAAGTCACACCATATAGCACACGCCACATAGCTTACACAACATAGCTTTCACTTCATAGCTTGCACACCATAACTGACATCATATAGCTTACTCCGCAAAGCCTACACAACACTGCTCATACCACACAGCTTGCACACATGCGCTTCACCTGTAGCGCAATCACTGACTGCTTGGGGCCAACCTGGCTGACGTGCCAATACGTGTATGTATATGTATATAAATGTAATGCTGGCATACATAGACAGAGAGAGACGAAGAGTGCGAGTTAGAGAGATGAATGATGATGCATATATGTGTACATCGATGGAGAGAAAGAGAGAGAATTGTGGAAAACTAGCTTACAGCAATACGCTTCGCAGAGGCACGCTTCTAAACGAGATCTAGGCTCCGATCACGGCGTCCTGTGCTGGCACCTTGGACATTACCATTTTGAGGAACTGCGGCTTTTTCGAAACCAAGATCCGGAACGCAAGAACATTGAAGCCGATGATCAATCCCATCATCGCCTTTAGGTTCCACGTTATGCTCACGTCCTCGAAGGAGAGTTGATTCAGCCAATCGTCCCCCTGCAGGCACATTCGGAAGATGCCCCTGTCGCAGACGAAACCGTTGTTGCCCCGAAACTCGTTCACGGCCAATGCTTGGAATGCGTACCGAATGAACGTAACGTGCTTTATGGGCCGGAGGAGGCTCGGGATGCTGTCCTGATTGAGCAGGAAACCAGAGAACAGCAGCTGGAACACCACGAACAGGGGAGCCACCTGGGGCACCTGTTTCGTGTCATCTAGGGAGGCGCTGAGGAGCATGCCCAGCGCGATGCCCGCGAAGTTCTCCGCTACCAAAACCGCCACGTAGATGAGCGCGTGATCCCACCCTGGGCGCAGGCCAGTCGCAGCGTACAGTATCAGACCAAAGAACAGCTGCGGGAAGAGCTCCAAGGGCAACTGGACTATGCAGGTGGCCACGTAAAATGGGAATACGTCGTAGAGTCTCGCCGCTCGTTCGCGCGACACCACCTTCAGCTGCGTTGGGATCGCATTCGCGGTGCCGATGACGCTCCCGAACGCTTGATTCTGGGCCATGAAGAAACACAGGCCGACGCGGCTCTGCAGAGAGGTTTGCGACATATCCATCTGCCAATACATGTAGCAATACAGAGCGGTGAAGAACACGTTCGCCGCATACTTGAAGCCCAACGTTGCCTTGTCCCGAGTGTTCTCGCGCCAGGTCCGCTGCAGCAGCAGCCAGAACGCCATGGTGTGTGGCACGCGAACTGTGCTGGGCCTGTTCAGCTCAGGAGGTGCCAGAATGCCTGCTGGCTTCAGCGGGACGGGCGCTGCAGGCGGGGCTGGACACTGCGAGAGTATGTGCTCAACTGTCCGCTTGGTCTGCGCCTCCCTGTCGGAGCTCCGAGAATCGACGCTCGTCACATCGAGGTAGTGGTCCACTGGGTTGAAGTCCAAGGGTACGGGCAACCCGATGCGACTGAAGTTCGGGAGTTCACTAGTGGGGGGGGCGATCGACGGGGGTAAGAAAGGTGCATCTCTCGTGCACCTTTCGTACCCTTTCGGGGCCCTAGGGGGCTCGTTTAGGGTCCCGAAGGGCCCCTTTCGACGCCCCCCCCCCCATTTATCGCCCCCCTCATTACCGAACGCCCGAGAAGTGCTCTGCGCAGGCGTGGCCGGCTGCGCCAACGTACGCGGTGCGACCACCAGCGAGGAGCACGGCTTGGTCGAAGAGCTGGCAGATGCTGCTCCGTGGCTGGTGGATGCTGCACACCACGGTGTGCCCGGCTCGCGCCAGCTCCTTCAGGAAGACCATCACGTTCTGCGCCTGGAAGCTGTCGAGGCCCGAGGTCGGCTCGTCCACGAAAACCAGCCGTGGCGCGTGCAGCAGCTCTACGCCCAAGCTCACGCGCTTCCGTTCGCCGCCGGAAATGCCGCGCTGCCCAGGCTTGTCGCTCCCAATGATCCGCCACCGTGCCTTGTGCACGTCGGGGCGTGTTAGAATGCTTCTATGCTGTCTGATATGGCTTCTTTACCGTTTTCTAGGGCGGCCTCATCCCCTCGTCGCTCGCGCCGTTCGAAAATCCCCCTCCCCCCCCTCCTCCCCTCTCCTGATTAGATATTGGTGCACTTCCCAAAAGAAGTTACTATTTGGAGAAGCCTTTTTCTCACACAGGCCCTGGCCGAGGGGTCAAAATAGCCAACACCAGCACCACATGACACACAATACAAACAGCTATCAACACGCCCCAAGACAGCCAAATTTGCCAAACAACGCCTCAAGACGGCCAAGCTCGCCCAAGACGGCCAAAAGGCCTCCAAGGTGGTCCCAAGACTGCTCAAGAGGGTCCCCTCCGAGAGGTCCCCAGAACGGCCCAAGATGGCCTCGAGGCGGCCCCCAAGACGGCCCAAGAAGGCTCCAAGAGGCTCTCTCTCTCTCTCTCGAGTGAAGGACACGCAATGTTTTTCCTCTGGGTTTTGACCGATTTTATCATACTGGCCCCTTCTGGTTCCCAGAAGCCCAAGACGGCCCAAATGCTCCTTAGAGGGCCTCAAGAAACCCCAACAGGGTCCAAGAGGGCTCCAAGAAGGTTCTGGGGGGCTCTAAGACGCTCTAAGAGGCACTCATCATGGTCCCAGGGGGATCCAAGACGGCCCAAGATGCCAGAAGGACATCGAGCTGGCCTTCACAGCCGTTCCTACAGGACTGCCTCCACGATCCCCAACATGCCACATGCCCCCAGCATGCCTAAAAGAGCCCCCCAGAAGCCCCAGAGACGCCCCCGTGAGGCCCAAGAGATCCCCAACAGGCTTCCCAGAGGTCCGCCTGCACACAGACCACCAAAGGTCTTCCAAACGGATCTCAAAGGCTCCCGAGAGGCCTCCCAAGAGACCCCAGAGATACTCCAACATGCGTCTTTAACTCAACCTCCTTCACGCTGCGCGGCTGCCCTGGCGCGGTGGCGGGGTTTGCCGCAGGCAGCTGGATAGTGTTCCGGGCTGTTTTCAAGCCGAGCGTGTCAATGATCTGGTCCACGCGACTCTTGCGCTCCTGGTAGCTTGAGCTTGGCATGCGGAACAGGGCCACAAACATGAGAGTCTCCTCTACGGTGCTCAGAGCGAACAGCGCGTCCTCTTGCTCGACGTACGCCACGATCGCGGCCAGGTCCACCTGCGACGAGTGGAATGCCGCGCTCTTTGCCTCCAGCGCCACCGTGCCCGTGAGCACTGCGCCCTTTGCCTTCGGGGTGCGGCCCGCCAGCGCGTTCAGCAGGCTGGTCTTGCCGCTGCCCGAGGGGCCCATGATGGCAAGCAGCTCCCCCGGCGCACAGCGCCCGTGCACCCCGCTGAGGATGGTGGCGCCGACTCCGCCCGCCTTGCCCGGCGGGAGCCTGTACGTGACATCGCGCCACTCGAGGGTAATGCCGCCGTGCAGAGCCGCCATCGCTGGCGGCAGCCGAGCAGCTGTGCGCGTGTGGCCAGCTCGTGCGGCGGCCACCGGCTGCGGTCCCAGCTTCGGCTTGAGCCGAAATGGCTGCGGCTCTCATTGGGGGCATCCTGGGCCGTCTGGGGACCCTGTAAAGGCCTCTTGGGCTCTCTTGAACTTCCAGAGAGGACTCTTGGAGTCGACTTTCTTCTAGGTTTCGCTACTTTTGGACGTCTGGGGTGCCATTCAAGCACCCTCTTGGGCAATCTTCTCGCTCTGAGGGGCCATCTTGGGGCCGCCTTGGGCCGTCTCGGGGTTGTCTTGGGGCCGTCTGGGTCGGTCTCGGACCCTGCTGGGGCGCCCGCAGAGTAGACAGGTCCCGACCTACGCTGTGCTAAACTATCTATCTGCGGGTTGGGGGATTGACTTAGTTATATGTAACTGTTGCGACATAGATTTTCACCCCCTTTGCTTGGGAATTCATTTCGAATGCAACACTGCTGCTCCTTATTTCTTCCTCTCCCCTCCCCCTCCTCCTCTTCCCCTCTCGTCACCTACCTGCCCTCGACCCCGCCTCCCTGGAGGCTGCCACCAGCTGCCAAGCTTCTGGGACCCCCAGCGGGTTGCCTAAACTATAACTTCCTTCCCTCGGCGCTGTCAACTGCGAAACCGTCGGCACTGTCGTGCATCTTCAGGGGAGTCCAGCGGAGTGCGGTCGTATCCTGACCCAAACAATAATTCCCCTCCTTGGCTGTAGAATTGTCGGCTCCTTCGTGAGCTCCTGGTTCCCTGGATGCTGCCGACTGCGCAACCGTCGGCACTCTCGTGGGGTGGTCTAGCGGAGAGCAGTCTTACGAATATCCAGACTCTCTCTCCCCTCCATGGGCGCCGCCAACTGCGCAGCTGCTTGCACTCTCGTGGAACTCATGGGAGGTTCAACAGAGTACCGTCTTGCTGCGCGGGCCCAAACAAATTACTCGCCTCCTTGGGTGCTGCCAACTGAATAACAGTGGGCCCTTTCGTGTGCCTTCTTGGGAGTCTAGCGGGGTGCGATCGCACACAGACCCGAACTATTACTGCCCTCCCTGGGGACTGTCAACTGCGCAGCTGTCCTCACTTTCGTGAGCTCCTGGGGGATCCAGCGGAGTGTGGCCTCACGTAGACCTAAACTATTTCTTCCTTCCCTGGGCGCTGCCAACCACGCACCTGTTCGCACTTTCGTGAGCTCCTGGGAGGTCCACGGGATCCAGTACTGCGGGGTCCAATGTATTACCTTCCTTCATGGGCAATACCATCGGCACAATTGTAAGCAGTTTCGGAAGCCTCCGTGAGGCCCAGCGGAGCGGTGTCCTTCTCGCCGCCCTTCTTATGGGAAAGGGGGAGGGGGAAGGAAGATTAGGAATGGATAGGTGACCTTGGGGGCAACATGTCCCTTTGCTGAATCTCAGCTACGCCCTACGCGCGATCAACGTAAACTGTTCATGCTTCTCATCTGCCGTGCTCTTGGCGTCGCAGATCATGGGCGTGGATGCCCATGTGGGCAGGATACACACATATGTGTATACATACGCACATATATATATATATATATATATATATGTAACCTTCCTCGCGAACAAGTACCTCTACAACGACGCGAACCCCTCGCATACTGAAGGCGCAGCAGGAGCTCTCAGGCCCTCTGAGAGCCCGTCGCTGCTGCTTCCAGGAGAGGAGGATTGGGAGGATCAGGATTCGGAGGAAGAGGGGAACGAGGATGGGGAAGGGACGATGATGTTGCTGTTGTTGATGATGATACTGTTAATGCTGATTCTGATGATGATGCTGATGATGATGCTGCTGTTGTTAATGATGGTGATGATGGTGGGGATGATCATGACGAGGACGACAACGACAACGACGAAAACGACGATTACGATGATGATGCTGCTGATGCTGCTGATGATGATAATGATGCTGCTGATGATGATGGTGGAGAACATGTAGGACGAGCAGGTGGAGGCGGCTGTTTATAGCGGTGGTCCGTCGGACCCGCGCGAAAGTCATCATTCTGGCACATCCGAACGAATACTTCCCTCATCGGGCGCTGTGATGTGCGTGATTGTCAGATCTTCCGTAAGCTCCTGTAAGGTCCAGCGGAACGACGTCTTGCGCAACCGTCGGCCCATCGGACAACGGTGGTCCATCGGACCCGGCAGCAAGTCATCATTCGCTCTCCTTCTGTCCCGCCTCTTCCTCCCGTACTTTTCTTCCCTAGTCTTCTGATCGTACTCGCCCCTATCCTCTTGCCATCCTCTCCTCTCGTTTCCTAGGTCCCCTCGCGCATCGCGTCCTGAGGTGCACGATTATCTTCGCGCCCTCGCGCCCTCACGTCGCCCCCTTGAAGAAGGGCAACCGCTCTAGCCCAGACCGCGACGCGCGAAGCGTGATTATCGTTTCCTCTCTGTCCGCTTTTTACCCCTGTCCGCTTTCCCTCTGTCCGCGCAGGCGACCTGGTTTCCCCTCTGTCCACTTCTTTCCTCCCCTGAGACCCGTTGTCGCGAAGCAAATGTGAGCAGCACTGTAAACCAACGGTTCTGGGCCATTTCTCGTGGTGTACCGATCCGCGAGGGTCCCAGGGCCCGAGACAAGGCAAAGTCGCCAGCTGCGAAGAAGCGGCGACGCCAGGATCTCAGGGTCCATTTTCCCCTCCCTTCATCTCTTCTCGTCCTCTCCACCCTTCCCGCGCAAGCGCCGCTGACGGGGATACTGAAGGGGCCCTGGGACACACAAATAAATCCGCCGGCCCCCCTGTGGGGCCACCAGGCTGTAGGCGCGAGGTTCGCAGTTTCCTGTGCCAGTTGTAGCTTGTAGTTTCCAGTGTTGCAGTTCTGCTTCTTGCTGGTTACTGTAACTAGTTGACTTATTGCTGGTTACTGTAACTAGTTGATTGACCGCGCGAGGGGGGGAGGCCCAAACGGGAAATTTAGCACCCCCTGGGCGCGTTATCTGAATTGCTGGGGGGGCTCGAAATCGACACCTCTCACGCAGATCCGCGGGGTCAGGGTCCAAAAACACATGGGATTTACCACATTTCTAAAATTCGGTGCCACCCCTCACGCAGATCCGCGGGGTCAGGGTCAAAAAACACATAGGATTTGCCACATTTCTGAAATTCGGTGCCACCCCTCACGCAGATCCGCGGGGTCAGGGTCCAAAAACACATGGGATTTGCCACATTTCTGAAATTCGGTGCCACCCCTCACGCAGATCCGCGGGGTCAGGGTCCAAAAACACAGGGATTTGCCACATTTCTGAAATTCGGTGCCACCCCTCACGCAGATCCGCGGGGTCAGGGTCCAAAAACACAGGGGATTTGCCACATTTCTGAAATTCGGTGCCACCCTTCACGCACATCCATCGCAAGGCGTGGTAACCCAAACTGCGAGAACTCCCTCGGCCCTTTAATCGCAAGGTGTGGTAACCAAGCCCGTAAACCATACACGTCTTACCAATCGCCAGGTGTGGTAACCCCTCTTGTGATCAGTTGGTTTTGCTGATTGCGAATCGGCTTCGCATGAAGTTTCGATACTGCTTCACGACAGCGCCAAGGCCTCATGACTTAGCTCTTCCATGGCCCATTCTCCGAGAGAGGGGGCCGGCGGCAGGGGGCGAAGCCCTTACGGATAGACACAAATAACAGGATTCCCAATATTTCCCAATATTTTCAGAAGTTTTTGTCTTCCCCCCACTTCCCATATTTTCCCATATTTTCTGGGGAATCGACGATTAATTGTGTCTGTGTGTGTTTTTCCTGAGATGCAACGAAAATTATAACGACGATGTCGACATCCGCGCCCTGCCGCCCTGCGCGGACCGGCAGCCGGGTGCTCCATGGAGGCCCTCCCGAGGCTGCTGGAAGTCCCTGAGCCTGAGAGCCCGCTGGAGGCCTCCGGGGTTGCTCTTGGAGGCCCTTGGAAGCCCTCGACTTCGGAGGCCCTCCGAAGAAGCCACCCAACAAGGGCCTCCCAGAGGCCCTCCGAAGGCCCTGGGCCCTCGAGGGCGGCGAAGGCCCACGGAGGCCTTGCGAAGGCCTCGGGAGGCCCTCGGGGCCCTTTGGGTTGGCCGTCCCCTGAGATCCGACGCCGCCAAAAGTTACGACCAGAGTTCTGGACTCCATCTTATTGCGGCACTTGTCCAACCGGATCGATCTGTGAGGGCCGCGCTGCGCGCGGCCCATCCGACCCCTGGCAAGCCATCCCCTTCCGTGACGTCACCCTCGCCTTACAAGCTTCCCTCTGGCCTCATACATATGTCATTGAGCGAGGCGGGGTGGACGTCACGGAAGGGGATGGTTTGCTAGGAGTCGGTTAGGCCGCCCCTGACCCCACTGGGCCCGAGATCAAGGTCAAGGTCACGCCCGTGCGCCAGAAGGCGAGCCCATGAAGGGCGCAGGCGGTGGCAATCGGCAGCGTGCAATACACGCGCGCGCCACATCTAAGGAAAACAGTACGTGCGTCTAAAACTGGGAGGACTCATTCAACTGGCCTATCGTTGTGGTAGTGCGCCGGAGCGTGAAGCAGATATTTAGATAGCAGTGTCAGACAGCAGGGCGTTCACACAGTGTTTGCCCCTCTGTTGCTTCGGATCTAGACGCGGAGTGGAGAGAATACATACTCCCTCAACATGTTCAATGTTAATGGCAGCAAAAATGTTGAAACTCCGCGGCTCGCTCCTGAAAAACATCTGGAAACCAAGAACGCCATTGAGAGCCAACCACGCGGCCGAAAGCTTCCAAGTTGCTTGTCCACGTAAGAGTCGGCCGCCCTGCTGCACGATGACCGCGCGGTGACCAATTCAGAACTCTGACGATGTACCTTGTCTCCGGTAGGTGCTGAACATATTGTACAAACGACAAATACCGGTGAACGCATTGTCCTGCCCATGTGCGAATGCCAGCACCGTTGATGAAGTTGCGTGCACGCTCGTGCCAAACATGTAGTGCATCATGCCACGGTGCATCCCAATCAACGCCCACT